TATTACAATATGAAGAGCTATCGATAATTTTGTTGATATCTTGCTACTCAACCTTGACCCAATCGAAAACGTTAGCTATTGTAAGCCTCGCATCATCTTTGTTTGATAGTTGATAAAAACAGAAAAGACATGTTTAACCACTTCAATCTTAATCCAATTCACTTGAAAGAAGATCTTTCTTAGTCTTCATTACTGAAGGCTGTGTCCCCGAAAGGCGTTTTCGAGGGCAGTTATTGCAAGAAACCCAGTCACTTAAGTCACTCCATCGTCAAGTGATGAACCGTGGGGTTTTTTTCCATCTTACCCACCACAAGCACTTTGTCAAGGTTGTCTGGATGTCAACGCGTAACTTGAAAAAACTATACCTATTGAGATTATAATTCTAAGATAAAGTTAACTGACGGTCATTCCGCTTTGATCAACAGTACAGCGAGTGTGTGTCTCAAATATAATCATTGTCAATTCATCTACGTGATTAGATCTACTTATTACACGTTATTTATTTAATCTTTTATCGTGCGTATTTGTTCATTTACATAGGTAATTTTCTTTCTTAGCGTTACAATTTTCATTCTTTGGTACACTAAAAACAGTCTCCGAAATCCTTCGTCATTCATCAATTAGATTAAGAAGTTCAAAATACTAGTGACACTACATCTGACTACTACTGTCAAGCAGGTATAGGAACCAGCTACAATGTGTTCTTTTTAACTATCCTTTTTGGCATATTGTTCGTGTCGAAGTCAACAGTTGTCAAAACAAATAACCTCAGCGGGACAGAAGCCAAAACCTACAAAAATTATATTGAATTAGAATAAATCCAAAAAAATGTGAAAATGAATTGAGGAAATAATAAGAAACAGTGCAAATTCGCGAATTTGATGGAAATGTCGTCTACTTTTACTATTGTAAATAAATGTAGTGAGTAAATGTTAGACACGTTTATTCTATGGTAAGAAGCGCTTTTATATTATAAAGAGCATTTTGAAAAACTAAACACACTTGCTGTCCTTCTACTTCAATATTCTATCTTAGGGCAGATTACTAACAATAAATATCTTGTTTTAACTAGATATTTAATGAATGAAGATATAAATATACTCAACGCTACGGTATTGTTCTTCCTTTCTAAATTTGAATCCATAATGCGAATCCTTGGTGTGATTTTATAAACACAAATGCATTATTACAATTACAAATTGACAACTTTTCAGTAGAGAGGTTTACAGCTTCTACGAACGTATACGTGATTTGTTTTGTTTAACTAGTATAATTTTCATGACTTTCACGCTTAGAGAATGGAAACAAAATCACTTTCTTGTGATAATAGCACTTTTGAACTTATGACTTTACTAAAACCAAGAGCACGAATTCATATTAATAACACTTCATTTTTTCCCGGCGAAAATCACGAAAAACACAATCATGAAACTACAATACTGAAAAGAATTATATACTAATATTAAATGGCTTTAAAAAATAACTTGTACGGTTATTCAGTTTAGGATGGTTTCACTAAAATTCTTTAAGTCAAATGGTCTATCAAACAATTGTCAATTGGTACAAGAAAAACAAGACTTACAATTATATCCACCAGTAGCTGCTGGACTTAACTGAACAAATGCAAGAACATTAGACCATAATGCGATTTATAAGAGATTTAATTATATTGAGTTCTTAGGTTATCACGATTATTACACATAGGAAATGAAACTATTTCTTCGGTTCCAAATCAGGTTAATAATGTAAATAATATTAATCTAACTAGACATAAATGGTTGATGATTTTACCATCTCAGTCACCCGTGATCATGGGACCTGTAAAGTATAATAAAAAATAGTTTCATTTCCTAGATTTAATTATTTCATTAAATAATATTTACTTATTCGTCCACAGATAATTTCTGATCAACTAACTGAATAAAAAAATAAAATGCAATAGCAATATTTGAATCAACAAATCTTGTAGCATGTACCATCAGACTCTGTGTATTGTCATATTTTTTCTGATAAATGTTACCGATGCCAGAGGAAGTGTTAAGACATATACAAGTGGAAACGGCTACAGAGACGTAAATGCTACTGAAGGAATGATTCGTGGACATGTCGTGGATGAAGGAAATTATGAATACTTGGCTTTCTATGGAGTACCTTATGCTGCGCCACCTGTTGGCAATATGCGCTTTAAGGTAAGTCAATAACCATTTACAGATAATATCCAAAAAAAACCCTGTGTGGCGGATGCCATGGACACACACATTCACAACCACAAATTACACTCAAACTGACGAGAGAAATAAATGTAGGCCATACAAATATTTCTCCCGGCCCGAGAATCGAACCTCCGTGTGGCAGTCCGGCATGGAAACCGTTCGGCCACGGAGGCAGTTAAATATCTTAGCTAGCCCATGTAAGTAATATTTCAATTTGACCATTGTATTAGTAGCAGTAGAGCTTCTTGTGTAAGAGTTCGTCCAGAGAAGTACTGCCACCTTATCTATTTCTGCCGCCAAGCAGTAATTGTGTTCCTGGCTAGAACTGACTTGTCAACTTATGTCTCAGGGTGACCGGCGCAGTGGAAGTGCCCCTTAGATTTTTGTGATTTAAAGCTCTGAGTCCCACTGCAAGTGTTATGGACAGGCGTGTCGCTTACCACCAGGCGCACGACTTGTTCGTCCTGTCACTTGGAATTATAAAAAAAAATACAGTAGCGACTCAACAACAGATATAAAAATCCTCTTATACACCTTATTTTTCACTAACATTTGTTAAAACAACAACTGTGTACCACTTTTTAGCCACCATTACCGTTAGGACCATGGGACGGAGTCAAAGTTGCCAATCGCAAAGTTAAATGTCCACAAAATGGTGAAGGAGAAGAAGATTGTTTGGTTCTGAACATTTTTACTCCTTTGAAGATCATTAACGGTCCACTTCCTGTTCTTGTTTACTTTCACGGAGGTTCCTTCATCATGGGATCTGCCCACACTGAAGGTATGAAACATTTGATACAGCAAAATATCATAGTGGTAACCGTGAATTATAGACTTGGAGCTCTAGGATTTCTCTGCCTTGGCATCAAAGAAGCGCCAGGCAATTCAGGACTCAAGGACCAGGTCGCAGCTCTTAGATGGATCAATCGTAATATTAACGAGTTCGGTGGTGATCCTAAGAAAGTGACTATTTACGGTATGAGTGCAGGAGCAGCATCAACCGAGTACCACGTTCTGTCACATATGAGCAAGGGACTGTTCCAACAAGCCATTGTCGAATCGGGATCCGCTACACCAGTCTGGGCCATTGATGCTCAACCCATAGAAACTGCTCTAAACTTAGCCATTGGTCTCAACGTCTCCACGGGTAAAAATCTCAGCAGAAAAAGCGTATACAAAATGTTAAATTCCTTTCTAAAATTACCAGCCAATCTAATATCAAAAGTAAACATGGAATATTATAATAACCTGACAGATGGTACTTTTGGCTTCGTTCCTTGTGTGGAAAGACATGTGCCTGGCAGAGAGCCGTTCATATGTAGGGCGCCTTACCATATATTAACGAGAGAACAGTATAGCAAAGTTCCTATGATGTTCATTTATTCAAGCGCAGAAGGACTTTTTTTGCGAAGTTCCGACTTATACGAGTTAAATTATGCAGAGAGAATGAATGCAAATTTTTTCGCCTTCTTACCTGCGGATCTTCAGTTTGACAGTAAAGAGATAACGAAGCAAATTGCTGAAAATATATTGAATTTTTATTTCGGCTACAATGGCACTATAGGCGACGATGTGATGCAATATCTGAACTACTTTGGTGATTATCTTGTTATGCATTCTTTGTTGAATTCCGTTGAAATACATTCGAAAAAAAATAATCCTGTCTATTTGATGGAATTTGCTTACAAAGGCGGCTTAGGAAGTTACGATAAGTTCTATGAGAACATCTATCTGGCAGGACACGGTGATGCTATGAAATATGTGCTTTTAAACAAGCCTGCATTAAATCCTGATGACAAGTTGATAGTTAGGAGAATGACCAAACTGCTGGCAAATTTCGTGAAATTCGGGTATGTCTTCATTTTGAAATCAATCATATTTTTGGGTTACTCAATCCAATAACGCAAGCAAATAAAACAGATATCGAGTTTACGAACCTACCATGCTTCTTTGATTATGTCAATAGTATAATATTAGAAACTTAATTAAGATAACTGTCTCGTTAACATTTAGACAAGAAGAAGTCGGCCCTGATCGTGAGATCAGTCAAAACCTGAGATGTTGATTTGCTAAAATAGTTTCATTTCCAATTTAGAAAAGAAATTTACAATTTCGTAAATTAAATCTAAAAAGACTGTGAAAGTTTGTGTCTATTGTGTTATTGATTCGTCAAGTTTTGTTGCAGCAACCCGACTCCCGAAAGAACTGATCTACTGCCCTTCATTTGGCCTAGAGTGCAGCCAAGAAACGTGAGCTATCTTCTCTTGAACAACGACATCCAAATATACGAGGAACCTCATTGGGGCAGAAAAGCCTTTTGGAATTCACTCTATAATAAATTTAGGAAAACGGTCAAACCTGTGAATCCAGGTTTCTGAAACCAGGTAGACAAGTCCTCCAGAGCGGAAATCAATTCGTAGCTATCATTAGTGCAATGACAACGAAAATAGTAAATAAAAAAATAACAATCTTTGACTTTTTGACGTCTACATATTTTGTTGTTTATTTCGAAACTATGATTAAATTGTGTAGAAAATCGTTATTTGTTCAATTTATTTGTTTGGAAAAACTTGGCGCACCTAAAAAGTTGGAGTAGTTATTTTTGTACTCTGGAGCACCTTGTTGATAAGTTCGTATCTGATTATCTGAAACAGATTAGGGATAGCCCAACGATATCTCTGTATTAGAGCTCATTGTGACAGAGTTCGTCCAGTGAAGTACTGCCACCTTATCTATTTCTGTCGCCCAGCAGTAATTTGAGCATTACTGCGATCCAGTTGAGTAAAGTAAGGGTGCTGTTGATATTACATGCACATGGGACTTGTCAACTTATGTCTCAGGGTGACGGGCGCAATTGCAGTGCCTTAAGATTTTCAGATACGGTCAGATTGTTATTTCGTCAGATTGGTACAGATAACTGGATCACAAATCCCTATGCATATGCATAAAACAAAATCGTGACTGACTAATTGACGGACAAAGCAAAACGAGTAGTGTAAAGCGAGAAATTAATTATAATACGCGTGGGAAGTCACAGAAGTCCAATTTCGTAAATATCTTAGACTATTGAAACGTAAATATTCACTTGACTTCACTTGTTATTTTTATGGCTACATCATTACATGAAATCATGATGTTGCCAATGTCACGGTCGAAGGAAAAGTAACAAAACTAAAAAAAAATGTTACATTAACCAGTGTTGATGGATTGGTCCACTCTAAGAGCCGGCAACTTTTAACAACGGTGCAAACGCGATGCTGTACCGCGCGTTTTTAAGCAGCGATGCAAACACGCGACTTTATCGATACATACGCGCGATGCATCGCTACACTTATGATTTTTATGCTATTGCATCGATGCAGTCGCGCATTTTATCGATGCAGTTGCGCGTTTGCATCGACGCAATCGCCAATAAATCGCAAGTATAGCGATACAATCGCGAATTTCACGTGTCGTCGTGTGTAACCACTCTAAAACAAAAGAGAGCACAAACTTGTAACACGGATTTATAAGTATATATTATATATTTCATTAGGTATACCCATTGACTTACAATTATATGGACGTCGGGTCCGCGCTAAAAAGTGTCCGCACTTGTAAGGCGCTAAAATCGTATACAGAGCGCCAAACTCCGCTTTAGTCTTCATTTGTTCGACTGACAGCGCGATACTGCGATGACATTTCAATTTAAATTTCGAATAGGTTGACTTGGGACATTTTTTTCGTGGTTTTTGTATTAGACCCGTCGTCCATTTATTTGTAAGTCAATGGGTATAACCTTTAGTTTTGTAAAATGTCACCATTATAATAACCAGGAGGTGCAAAACAATGATCAAAGATCGTGATTTAACTTAAGTATTGTGGATACCTTCCTCCGAAACGTCAAATAACGAATGACGAATAACATTACTTTCATCGTAAAAGTGACATTTGTGTAGTACGTATGAGCTTCGTTGCGCACGTAGTCACGTAGTATCGTGGACCTTCTGGCCTCTACACAATAACCTTCACAAATATCCTACCAAAATCCAGCAAGTATAAGTTTTTAACCAGGTTAAGGGCCTCTAACATATTTTACTACATCTCACTAGCAGTAAGCACGTATCTCGGACATGTTCGCAAATGTTACTCCTTTGGCGCGTTGCCAAATTTGAGAAGGTTGTATAGCAAGCAAAATGTTGAAGTAGACTGTGTATTGCAACTACTTGTATACGGTAAATTTGGTGTTTCGCGTGGATTGTATAAGAAAATGAAATGGATAGCGCGACCTAAGCTCTACAAAAATCAGAAGACAAGAATATCACTTGCCAGATAAACGAGATCCTCTAAATACCAGACTATAACACCAACAATACCCGATTTTACGTAAGCAGTCTAGTATCTAGAATCCAGTATACTAATAAAATTAATAACGCGGTAGTTAAAGATTCCAAAGCCTCTTTTGTCAGTTGTGTCTCCTCTGCCAAGTTCAATTCGTTAAAGTATTTTCTTAATCTTAAAGCTCGTCTGGATCTCAGATTCCGCCAGCTCCTTTAAAAGTCTGATATTCAGAGGGGAAGCCAAATCATGTACACTTCCAAAAATTTTTACTTTACATATCAAAATATAAAAACAGATTTCAATTTGACAATTTGCAAAAAGGATTAAGTCCACAAAATTACCAAAAAATCAGTTATATGTACCAAACGGTTCCTAAAGTCTAACCTCTTAGATCCGCAAAAAAAATCCAACATTTATACATAAATAAATATCTCTGGAGTTACTTGATGTTACAAATTTTGAAGATAAAACAAGAGTGAGAAACACTTTTAAACTTCAAACTGCCGTATCTCGAAAGTGACTGGTTGTACATTGGATCCTTTTTGTTTAACTACGTCCAATTGAGAACGTCGTATAGAAGATGACACATCATTATGAAAAATTCGGGGCTTTGTGGAGACGTTATGACTAGATGATAAAACTACGTTTTCTACATAAATAGTATGCCACGGTTTCGTAGTAAGTATTGTATGCAACATATCATAAGTCCGTCGTACGGCTACAACAGGAACCCAATAGTTAAATGGGAAACATAATGATAAATACGTAGGGTGCACTGATAGTTTTGCATAACTTATGAATAAAACAAGTTGTAATCAAAATAATTTATTATTTTTCAGAGTAGGTACTCTCCACTTTAAACGTTTTTTCATTCTGTCGAACCATTTTTCGAAGCACAAAGACCATAGATCTGAAGATGTTTTTGACGTGCTGATTGAAGCCGTCAATGCTTTTTTTTTGGAAAAAGTGAAACCACACATGAATTCCCTGCTTTTAGGGAAAATAAAAAAATTACAGGCTGCAAGGTCCGGACTATGTGCAGGATGGGTCACGAGCTCTAATTTTTTAAGAGGTTAAAAATTATTTTGTTTTGTTGGCTGTGTGTGAAGAAGCGTTGATGATGTCGTGGTGCAAGAGGATGCAAATGGGATCCGTGCGAGAGAAAAAATACGGAATCATTTTTTTATCCACGTTCCTCGCCTGCTTCAATTTTGTCGGTCTGTTCTCGCTTTCGAACACTCATTCACAAGATTGCTGTTTTTGTTTCTGGTTCAAAACAGTAAATCCACGTTTTATCTCCCGTTAGGATATTACAAACAGCATTCGAATTGCCGTGATCATACTTGAACAACATCATTGAACAACACGAGTCCGTTTTTGTTATGGCGTCAGTAAATGAGGGATGCAGCAACAACGAAGTTTTTCTAACTTTTAATACTTCGTGTAAAAATTTTTGGATCTGAGTCATACCAATCCCCAGATGTCCTCGAATCGTTTCATAGGTTATACGTCGGTATTCTTCAATAAGCTGTTTCACTGTGGCCACATTTTCACCGTTGTCGAAGGGCGACCTTCACGAATCACATCATTCAGAGAAACCAGTCCACGCTCAATTTCCGCATACCATCGCATCACAGTACATAATGAGGTGCTTCCCTCCAAAAAGCATTTTGAAGTCGAGCAGCACAATCTTGAGGAGAAAGAAAAAGTCTTAAAATCATAGAATTTTTTTCTATATAAAAAATGTTTTCGCATTCATTCAAATAAGACGTTTGCGTTAAGATAAATATAAAGGTCTGTTAAAAAAATATTGACTAATTATTTTCCCCCAATTTTTTTTATGAATAACTAATAAGGGTCTATGTTTAAAAAATATACCATTCGAATAGTTATGTAAAGTCAAAAGTGCAAAACTTTCAGTGTGGGGCACACTGAAAGTAACTTCGTTCCGGTTTTGAAGGTTTAGGGTACTAGTAAAACTACAAGCATTGTCAACTTTATCTGTCAGGGTGACAGGTGCACTGGCAGCACCCCTCAAGTTTATTGCGATTCAAACATGGACTTACAATTATATGGACGTCGGGTCCGCGCTAAAAAGTGTCCGAACTTATAGGGCGTTAAAATCGTATACAGAGCGTCATTCACACTCTAGTCTTCGTTTGTTCGACTGACAGCGAAGCAAGCAAAATTAGACAGCACTGCGATGACATTACAATTTAAATTCAACGTTTTAGCTTTTTCATATTCCTTGACATGTCATTACGTTTAAATAGGTTGACTTGGGATATTTTTTTCGTGGTTTTTGTATTAGACCCGTCGTCCATTTGTCTGTAAGTCAATGGTGTGCCCCATGTATTTATCTTTCTTAGAATCACACTACAGTGAGTGTCCAACAGGGAAGAATTAAGCAAGAAAAATATTTCCTATTCAATTTCGTTCCCATATAATCTGCTTCTTCTTGTATCTGACCTGGCAAGTTGCAAGGAAGGACGGCCAGTAATAAGTTCTGTTTTATAATGGAGTAATAAGTTTATTGACAAAAACGACATAACAGTCGGCTGCTGATAGCTGTAAAGATACCTGGCTGAATGAAGAAAAACTTTCATAGATTTGTCACAGATGGCGCTACGGAAAAAAGTAATTAAAAACCAAATCCAAAGATCTGCAACAAGCTGCACAGAAAAATTCATAAGGTCTGTTGGTTCGTTCCGGAGCTCAGTTTGGAGAGCGTCACTCACGGTATGCATTAATAAATTTATCGAACTAGTGGCATAATTTCACAAAAATTAATTTAATATAAGTATTTTAAGAATTGTTGTATGAGTACAATTTCTAAATAAGAAATATAAAAAGCCTCAAAATATATATCTCGCAAGATCGGTTGCCGGTACTTTTCTGGCTCACATCCAGTCTCCATGCGCTTTGCTCGGTTGACTTGGCACGTGCTTTTATCAGATTGAAACGAAAAGAGGTTTCACGAACGAATTCTGCTTGTTGAAAACATAATCGTGTCTCTTATTACATAAGGTATTTATCGATTAATTGATAAATATAGGAATAGTACAGTGACCATAATCATCTAAGTGACAACGATATTAGCCCCCTTTACACAGTCACTCCATCGCGCGTGCAGTAGTGATGCGCCGTTGTGAACGTTTTCGATATTCGACTCGTTAGTAATTGCTA